ATAACTCGTAACACTTGTCGCTTTAAAAGCGAAGTGTATAGCCTTTTATCAGTACCCTTCGAGTGCGAAAACTTGAGAGCATTTCTTTTTACTCACAAAATGTTTCTTTCTTTGGAGGAAACCGTCATGTTTAGTATACTAAATAAATCTTTTATTTCGGCCATAATCGGAATTTCATTTTTGCAAGGTGTCTCATTATCATCGATTACCTATCAACGCCAGCGATAATTACTCGCTCATTGGAGCTTGAACCTTCTCCGTTCCTGTTCATTGTTTTTCTAATTGTCTGTTTTCCAAAAGTGCAGATTGGATTGTGATTCAGCGATATTTAAGCTTCCACCTCCTTGTCTTCAGTCATTTCACAGACGAGTGCAAAACATTTTCATTCGGTGTAACAATAGCCGTACCAATAGCTCTGCGGTTTGAAGTTCCATTAGTTTTTTTGCCTTTTGTGGCTATTCAGTTAATTAGCTCCCTACAACAATCGGGATCGAAACAATCGACACTTTTTGCATGTTTTTTAACACCAAACACTTGAAATTGTTAACGTCATCTGTGTAAAGGCCAAGTTAATTACTTCCACGGCTGACTTATAATCGCTATTTAAAAGAGGCTTTCGTTCAAGAATCATGCGTCTGGCTTAGCATGAGGTGGATTCTACTGGAGAAGGTATTCTTGCGAAACTCAATTAAAAAGCTTTTCATGCAATTCCTTGTTACGTTACAAGCTAACGGGAAGCTTTTCCACAAGTTGTATCACCGTCTGTTAAACTCTGCGAAGAAGATAACAGTTCTTGTTGTTTAACCGACAGGAAATTTCAATCTAACTCAATAGACCATGCAAACTCGCGTTAAGGAACCAACCCTTTTTAAAACATCTCAATCAAAGAACCATCCAAAGGAGACATTGAAAAATAACTGTTTTATCGACTGAGTGCGCTTTTGTACAGTTGCCAGAAATCATTGACTTGTGACATCAATGATTTAAGTGTGCGGTACTAGATGTTTTAAACTGTAGCTTACACGTTTTGATATTTTTCTGCTCTAAGTCAAAGCAAAATCGAATACGCATTTAACTTTTGTGCTTTTGAAAGAAAATGCATGATTGACTTGTCTTATATTTGGAATTTTTTTTTTAAATTAAAATTTATCCGCTCGTAGAGCATTTGGTTTGAATCGTCGCCGCTGTTGTCGATTTTGGAATATGTTTCTTTTGTCTTTTGGTGACTCATTGAAAAACATTTCCTCTATCGCATGAGGCAGAAGATCAAGCAAGCTTTACTGAAGAAAATGACAAAGATGAGAGTCCACTGCTGAATCAAGTTCAGGGTTTTGCTCATGTAAAACTTAATCGGAATTGATCAATAGCTCGTGTTTCGCCTGTCTCTACTGTGTTATTTTCAACAAACTAGTTTCGCCACAGGAAAATCTGTCGGCAACTCAGTTTCTTATATCAAAGCAATTCTAAGAGTTACTCGAAAATGCCATTGTTTATCCCCGCTGTCTGCATTACGCATTACACTTTAGAGCCCTCTGTACTCCGAGGTGGGGGGAGGCCCTGTGGGCATGAACGATCTTGCCTTAGACCACAACCCTCAGTTCTTAATTACTCACCAACAATGCTATGGCAGAAACTGATCCTTCTGATGAATTCAGGTTGGAAAATATCTCTGGTGCATGGTGATAAGTTGCTGGTACTCCTACTGAAATTGAAGATCGGTTGAAGCTGTCCAAATAGTGTTGACGTAAAGTGGGCGGTCGG